TTTTAAATTATTAAAATAATGATAAAACTAAATGATTTTTAATTCTTTACAATTCAATTTTTTCAGCTAATTCTTTTAAACAAATATTTCATTGTAAATGTTTGTTTATCTATAGGTTTTGCCGTAACATTGTGGCTTTAGAAAAACATTTACGGCTAAATGCTACCGCCCGTTACAAGACTCTTTAATAGTTACTACTGTTATTGTTATTATTATTGTTACTTTTTATTTTATGTATTATTTCTCGAGCTTCCCTTTCATTTATTTTGTTCTAATCTTTCCCTTCTAAGAAAATGTGGAGTGAACGGGAAATAATTGTATCTAGTTTTTCATTATTGTTTGCTTAAGGATATATTTTGTATTGTATATCTCCTGTCAAATTCCCTTCCTGAATATAAAATGACTGCGATGCATTTAGGAAAAATCTCTTAAATAAAGAAACAACAAGTTAATAAAAGAGGAAGACCCAAAAATAAGAGGAATAAATGCAGGATGATGGTAATGCTCGGTTTCCTGTGCTCTCCTTCGGAAAAATGTCTGAGTAAGTTTTAAAGTTAGTTACAAACTTTTTCAGCAGATGGCGCTGATGACTGAATAACTCTAAAACAATGATTCCTGCTTCTTGGCAGATCATACTAACGAAACTTTTCATACAGATATTTGTTAATTCTGTTTTCAGATTGTGTCTGATTGGTCAGCTTAAAAACAATTTTTTCTATCAATTGACGGACTTCGCAATTAACTTTGATAATGTAAATGAAATTGGTTTAAGAAGAGTAACACAGCAAATCGCACACATTTTTCTCCTTCTGTTTGTCCTCTAATTCATCTTTCAAATTATTATTTATTATTGGAACTTGTAGTAACAAAGCAATTAATTAGTGTTGTGAACAATATTTTGAGAGACTCACTTAAATAAGTGATATTCTTTTGAAAGGAAATCATTTTTAAAAGCAAAGTTGATATTTATTGCCTTAGATTCCTGGCCTGATTCAAGGACTTTGTCACTCAAAATGTAATTTATTCATCGCCAATGCAAAAAGTTACTTGATGGTAAGATTAAAAAAAGGGTTAGTTCCAAATAAGAATTCTCCATGAGCATATGTGCGTTAAATGTTAGTAACTTTGAAGTGTTTATGACTTAATTAGATCTTGATTATCAAGCGAGAGTGAATCAAATTCAGCTCACGTGGAGCTGTGAACCAAAACCAAAAACCAAATACCAAAAACCAAATATTTTCAGAATTAAAGTGTCATAATGAGTATATATTTATATCTATTTATCTGATGTGCTCAGTGTGCGTAACATGTTTTAAATGAAAATTCATAAATAACAAATAGATTAAATAATATTATATGGCATTATATGGTATATTATTTCAGTATTATTTATAGATAGTATTCTGTAACGACCACCATTAACATAAATTTTTAGAATTCATGTCAAAATGAAGTAAAGAAAAAGTACAAGCATTAGGAATCGAAAACTAACTATAAGGTGAAGAAAAATCAGAAACGCAGTCAAAATCTGCTGAATCACGTGTGATGAAAAACGTCAAAGTAAATTTTAATATGTTTCTAGCAATCTAAGGAGGATATATTCTAAGGAAATTTAGCTATGTTTCTAGCAATCGTCTAACTACTGCTGTATGTTTACTCCGACAATTAAATATGTTTTACATTTTTGTTCCGGTTTGCTCAGTAGTAAATCGTTCTTTTTCGATAAAGTTTTCGTTTTTTTATCGCTTAAATAATAATTTGAGACATTTGATGTGCATGTTTTTCTGGATTCGTCTTTTATTTAGATTCTAAAAACAAATTAAAGATAGTCATGATGCAACACCTTGTATATAAGCAATTATAGGTTTTTATGCAGAGTTTAAAAATATAAATAAACAAAATGAAACTAAATGTTAATAATCTCTGAGCTAGTATTGTTTTTTTTTTTTCGCTGCGAAATGATTTGAAATCAAAGAACTTTTATGCAAATCAAGTTACCCTTAAATTAATTATACATACTTGCAACAAAGCCATAATTTTATAAATAAATGTATGATTTTTTAAATTTTTTTTGTAACATAAAATGAGATTTCAAATACAATTAAAAGTTTGATTGATTAAAAGAAAATTAAAAGAATTATAATTAATTCATGCCCTCCAAGTCGATTACTGTTAATGATAAGTTTTATCACACTATAATTTTGCACCAGTTTTTAAGAAAAGCATACTGTTAAAAAATATTAAGTTAAGAAATACAGAAATCTTCTTGATAACGGTATGTTTATGAAATTCTCTATAAATAACTATATGTTGTAATTAATTATTGAGCTTCTTATTGATTAGATAACTTAAAATATTAAATTTAAAAAAAATGAGCACCTTTTAGATACAAAAATTTACAAGTAACTTTTCAATTTTTTTTGACTGATTAAAAGTTTAATTGTAATTTTTGAATTGATTCTGTATTTCAATACATTATCTTGAACTCAATACAAGATAATGATTAAGAAAAGCATTCCATGTTATCGGTGTTAATTTATCATGTAGATTTAGCGTTGTAAATTTTGAAAAATACTGCGTATAATGCGATGCATTAAATTAATTGAGGCATAAAAATAAAAGTGACGATTTTGTATAACTACAAAACTTGCAAAGTTAAATGCGATTTTATAATGAGAACTATGCATGAACATGAAGACAGGAGATTTATAATGAACATACGTCATGCGCAAAGAAATGGCAACTTACAATTTTTTATTTTTAAATTTTAATTATGAAAAATGCTTCAAAAAAGGAAACTGTGAAAATTATAGATAGTCCTAAATTTTTTACTTTATTAAAAAAGGGAATTGCTAAAAACGAATTAGTAAAGAAAAATTTAAAAAATGTGATTAATTTAAATTAATTAAAAGTAAAGCGATTAGTTTTAGTTGGTTATGAGTCATCCGATTGTTTTGTTATTCGTTTTTCCTTCTTTTTATAATTGAACATTTCATAATAATTGAACATTTCATAATAATTGAACACTTCATAATAATTCAACGTGTATAAAATAAGTAAAATTGCAATTAACATGAGCATATTTTATTTCCAATTAATGAAATGCAGAAAATTATGCTCTGAGAAATTAAAATAATGTATCTATGTGTATCTAAGTTGGATGTTTCATGATAATTCAACAGAGTGTATAAAATAAGTTATACTATAAGACCCACACACGTATAGTCTAATTTAATGCAAGAATAATGCATGGACAAATAAAAGTGATATCATGTATTTCAATTAATTCTTTGGACTAGATAAGTTTTTAGATTTAATTTTTATATGGTTAAATATTTCACAATAAATCAGCAGAATGTATAAAATATGAATAACACCAGCTTCAATTTAAAATTAATTTAATACAGAAAATTATACATGAGGAAATGAAACTGATAGAAATTATTAAGATTAGATTGACTCAACTGATTATTTTGGTAATGTCTAATTTTCTATATTGGATATTTCATGATAATTCAATAAAGCGTATAAATCAAATTATATTGCAATAACCCGCACAAGATCATTTTTTTACCAATTTATTAAATACAAAAGTGCGACATAGAGAAAAAAAAAGTAAAATGATGTTTGAGAACAACCCAAATGGAGAAGTTGAATAAAAAGACAATGGAGAAGTTGAATAAAAAGCTTTATTGGAAATCAAAAGAAATCGCCATGAGTGTTGTAACGCAGGTCCCATTGTCTAGAAGCAGGTCTTTGCCTTTGCTTTAGAAAGATTGTGGTTGATTCTGGAAGAAGTACTGCACAGTTTTCCTGAATTCGTCGTCCGAATCGAAGAGTGCCCTTTGCAATGCTTTCTTAAGTGACCAAACGATGAAGAAGTCACAATGTGACAAATCTGGACTATACGGTGGGTGTTCCAACTCTTCCCAACGGAAATTTCGTAAGGTCATGTGAGTTTCACGGTAGACGTGTGGGTAGGCATTGCCATAAAGAAGAAGCGCTTGTTGTGTGAGATGGTCTGATCGTTTGCTTTTTATTGTTTTTCTTAGTTTCGCCAGGGTACTGTAGTATTGTGTTGAATTGATCGTGCTCCCAGAGGACAGGAAATCATTCGTTGTTCCGATCCAGATATCTTATTTTATTTTTATATTTTATAACCATTGTTGGACAGCCGACCCAATTTCGGGTTTACGACTACTAATGTTCAACTCCGTAGCCTTGTAATTCTGAACCAACCCAGAAGACAAGGGAACTCCTGAATCAGTACCCTCAGAGATATGATTTGTTATGGGAACATGGAGGACTCTGTGACTCGACAGATTTAACGTGCATCAGTCACCGTTTACTACACGGGGAGTCTTCAACCGTCAGGGATCGAACCCACGACCTTTTGGACATGGGCCCAGTGACCTATCAACCAGGCTATCCCGGCCACGATCTTGATATCTGTATAGAACAACTTTACTACGATCAGTTTCCTCTCCCGCAAACAGCTTTCATTGTCGAATGCCGTATGTAATGCACATCTTTACCGCCCTTTTTTATCCCTGTTTAGAGGCACTACTATGGCTGCAGTCATTTTGACGCATTTACATGTGTCCACTTTTCATTCAGGCAGGCCTTATATTTCAATTAAATTGATTTATCTGGTTTCTTTGCTAATGTGTAATATGTTGGATATTTCAAGAGGCGTATTACTTAAATTATATTAAAATATTCTATTTCACTATTTCTAAATTCACTATTTCTATTATTTTATTTCTAAATTATATTGAAATATTATATGACGCACGTATATTCTATTTCCTGCAAACTTAATTGATAAAAAAATATATCAATGAAGAAATTAATGTGATGTTATGTATTTCAATTAAAAACCATAATTCACCCCATTAATTAAATTTTTGTAATTAATTTTTTTTATATTAATGCATATTTCATGATAGTTCTATATAGTGTATAAAATAAGTTATATTGCAATAAACCACACACGCATATTTTATTTCCAACTAATTTAATAGTAAAAAATTAAAATTTCTCAGTGACAAAGTGTTTTTTATTTCGAGATATATTCAATACGTTATGTTTTGATTGCTTGCGTAACAACAATGACAAGTATCTCTAATACATTATGTAATGATGACAGGGAAGGGAGGATCTTGAAGATAAAAAGAATGTTCTACATATTCTAAGATGTGCGATTGCACTCCAGCGCACCACCATTAATATCCAAGGTTTTTTTATCTCTTAGCGCCTCTCCAAATCTTCGTCGTAATAAGATTTCGGATGGTTCTTGAACATTTTAGAATAAACAACATTTCTCATTATTCTTTCCTGTAAAGAAACAACACACGCACATCATGTATTGAAATAGAAATGATGATAAACAAAATAAAAATTTTACATTCAATTTCCGCATTGTATCTTGTATTTTGCTATGTGTGATGTAAAATATATTACGCTGTTGCATACATAAATACAATGGTTGAGAAAACTTTTTTAACTGCACCAATGATTGGATTCAAACCATTAAAAAAAATAGTGCATTTAACATTTTTTTTCAGATTTAGGAAATAATTCCATTTTAATAATATTCTTTGAAATATTAAAATAAGCATACAGTATTTTCTGTAATTATCACCTTCAATATATATTTTTAAATCATTTCCCAATTCTAACAAAAAATTAATTTTAAGGCTAAAAAAAAAAAATTAAAACTGTCGAAATCTTACGAATTACTGAGAAAAAAGGGTTTAAAGATATCAAGACCTGTTTGTTTGTTTTTGAAATCCAAGTGGAGTTGGAAAAAAAAATATTAGGGAATTCTTCAAGTTTCATCAAGTGATTGAATTAGCTTTAATCTTATTCTTCACTCTCTCTACACTAGTGATTCGACAGATATCGTTAACATATTTTTCTTTCTCTTCCTCTAATTAATTTGTAGCTCTACTGATATGAATATTTCTTCAACATAATTTTTAAAAAAAATTTTAAAAATTTAGTTTAAACAGTTAAAACGGAATTTCCTGAGATGCACCAAAACAAATTATGACCTAAAGATCAGGAGTGTAAATTCAACCATCGGATATAAATCCTAACGTCTTGTAGCCGACGAACTTAAATAATCATTAAAACAATTCGAACTTAATAAATCATTAAATAAAGTAAACTTCATTTATAACATCAGGGTTCCGCGGAGAGAAGGACGATTATTTAAGGTTCCATAGCCAAAAAAAATTGGGAATCGCTGTATCTTACTAGTCGAGGGAAAAAATAAATGAACAAATTCATTCGAAAATATTTAACTGATACTGTTTAATTTCGCAATTCATATTAAAATAATATTTGAGAAACGTAAATTTATTTACAAGCAGTAGAAGAGGACGAAAATGAAACATAAAATAAAAAAATTGATTTCTTGAAAACAAAATTTTACAATTTGAGATTTAAAGCAAGTTACACATAATGCTTACTTAAAAAAACGCGTATTTAGGAAAACTATGTAGCTTTTAACGAAAATAAATTTGGGTTATTATTTATTCTTCATATTTTTCTTTCTTAGAATGCTGATCGAACGTTTTTAATATTTTTTCTTCTAAGACCACAGAATGTTTAGTGCATTGATTTTAAATACTTAAAAATTTGCTATTTTGAAAGCATGTGTACTAAAATGCTTTTCGATTTTATAAGAACGGATATTTCTAAGGATTAATATTATTTTTGGCTAAAAGCAATATAGATTTTTAGTTATAATGCAAACAAATATTGCCTTTTAGCTGCTGTTTGAGCTATTCTGATCTTAGTCGTAAAGGTTTAAACAAAATTTCCATTTGTTCTGTAATCCTTTTTAAGATTCCTGCATTTTAGCAACCTTTTTTCCATTTTTTTTTTATAAATAAAACGAAAAATTTCTTAGCACAATAGAATCGCGTCAAACGCCTACGTATCTTTTTTTCTGGAAACGTGAAAATATTGAAAAATAATACCATATGGCATTGAAAATGCGTATTCAGGCTATTTATATTTTACTAAAACTTGTGAAAAATATCTAAGTGCTTAAAATGGTTTAAAAGAAACTAATGCTATGAGTGAAAATGGAATTAAGTCTTAAAGGCAGCTCAAGAAATTTCCAATTTAAGATGAAAATTAAAAAATAAGTTGATCAACGATAGGAGTTTGAAAGCATCTACATTTTAAGAACTAAGATCTGTAATTCTTGTGTTTTAAGAGCAGTTTTAAGCTGCATAACACATAGAAGCTTTTTTAATTATTACTTTTTTCAGTTTTAATTTTTTATTTCGTTAGTAAAGTAGTCGATCATGTTTTATCCACCTGTCTGATATGGCCATTTGTTTATTTCAAGCCATTTAATCAAAGTTCTGACAAGGGGTTATTAAATGATATATTTTGCCTGTTTTATGTTTTACGGTGGATCTTTACTTAATTGTGTCTGTTTTATGCAAGTATTTCAAGAGTTTTTATCTTAAAAATCCTGGTACCATCTCGCTTTTTTTTCTTCTTTTTTTGCATATTTGCAGCTTTAGAAGACGGAAAAAAATATTTTGGTAAGACTACCGAACTGTATGATAATGACATTTTTGTTTCTAAAAAAAAACCAAAACTCTGATTAATAAACCAAAATTATAATTATATAGTATTGAAACCATTCATTTTGTACTTTTTTCATTCATATGATAATGTCTTACCGGAAATTCCGATTTTTAAAACTTAAGTTCTTATTACGACACATTTAGTATAAAATACAATACTGAAAAGTAAATTTAGCCCAATAGATGATATTTATGACATGTTTAAGTATCATGATATAATTACCAAATTTTACCACATTTACGAAATTTTATTATAAAGCTAGTTTTTATTTTTTATTTTACCAAAATCATTATTAAAGCATTTCGATAAAAATTATCGCTCTTTTTGCTGTTCTCATAGAGCAAGAAACACAGTATATTTTATCATATTCTGGTACTTTGGTCATACTTTCTTTTTCGATCTTCAACAATTTCATAGTAAAGGAAAATTTTCTATTTAAAAAGAACTTTTGATTTTAAAACTTTGAATAAAATATAGAGAAACGTTGCATTTTTAATATTATTCAGAGCTTTATTTACTCAAAAATTGTTAATTAATGGAAAACTAGAAACATCGTTATTTTGTTAAAATACAAAATAACTTCTCTGCAATCAATAAAAGCTTATCTTCCTTAAAAATGTATATTTATCAATTATTTGATTTAAACTGTAAAAAAAAAATGTTTTCTTTTCTTTTTTTAATTTCTCTCCTTTTTTTAATTTCTTTTCTTTTCATTCTTTTTGTCCTCTTTTTTCTTCTTTCTTACTTTTTTTGTCAAAACTTACATTTTTCTATAACCAAGGAGAAATGTTCAAAAATATTTTCACATTTTATTTCCTAGTCTCAAACTATGTTCCTGAATTAAATTCAACTTGATTGGCTCCAGGTACATTTTCTGACGTTCGAATTTTCGAAACCAAAATTTTGATTTTTGACATCTTAAATTTTGGAAAACATAAATTTTACTTCAGCAAGTTCGCTAACCATGCATTTAATTTAAAATTTAAAACTGATTTTGTTTTTAAGTTTTTTTCAAGTCGCATAATTTTTTTCTTATCAAACTTTAATAGATGGTGATCGAAACTCAGAAAAGTTATCCCCGCATATCCGTTTAAGAATGAAATAATTTCGTTTTTAAGCTTGCTGTTTCAAACTGCACTATTTTTAAAATTTTATTTTCGTCTAAATTATATTTTAAAACATCTAAACTAAGTTGCTTGGTAGCGTTTTAACCTTAAACTGACATCTCCTAAAAGAGAGAAGGCCTTCGCACTGATTCATTTAGTAGTCCGACGTAACGAATATAAACTGCGCAGAGGCGGAAAAATTGAAAATATGTAACAACATTTGGGCCTCTGAACTGAACAGTGAGGGGAAAACACGAAAGATGTATTTCATTTTATAATCGTCATTAAACTGCCAACCTAATTTTGAGTTTACGACTATCAGTGTTCAACTCCGTAGTTTGTAATTTTCAACCCAATCCAGAAAACAAGGCAATTCCTGGATCAAGTATAGGCGGAAATTTTTATTCTCGGAGGACTTTTTGATTGAACCAACCCGAGTTTGGGTTACACGGAGAGGAAAACAACGAAAATCTCCCATGGTTTGTCACTACGTTCGGATTACTAAAGGTTTAGATTTTCCGATTCTGTTAACTCGTACGGATGCCTTCTCTCTTCTTGGAGGTGTTGCTTAAGAGAACGCCATGACATGGTAGAAAGTTTTTGTCACAAATTCTCTTTAAATTCTTTAACTAATTTAAAATTTAAAGTATAGAAAGAGTGAGCTCAACCAAATCTAGAGTAAATTATGAAGATTCCAATACTGTAAAGAAATTTTCAAAACTTACAGATGAAAATTAATTATGCGAAGATAACTTAGGATTACGCAAACTTCGAAGTTCTCTTCCAATAATTTGTTTGCTTTTTGGCATTTTGATTTTTTTTTACAGTTAATGAAATTCCATGGCCTTACTCTAGGTATGTTTGAACTCGCTTTTTCCTTCCTTTGAAATTTAAATTAGTAATGGAGTTGAAAGAGAATTGAATCTCCTGTGGCTTGAAGGAAACTTTGAAAGACGAAAATTATCTTCAGTGGCATAACATCCTCGGCTACAATGGATTCTTAATAAGTTTTTTTTCTTTTTTAAATAATGTTACATTGCTGTGATTTGTAAGGATTGTTTATACTTAGAGAGAGAACATAAAAAAAATACTTTGATACATAATTCATGCTATAACATGACAAATTTTAATTTTTTCAAAAAAAAAAAATTAGCGATTTATTTTGAAGTTTAAATAATCTCCTTGCGTTAAATTTTTCCCTAAATTTAAAGATTATTTGGTAATTTCAACTCTATTTACATTTATCTTCAAATTATAGAGAAAAAAAATTGCACATTTTTCAACTAATTTCCATACAGAGTAGAAAAAGCAAGCTTCGGAAGAAAAACAGAACATGAAAATCGTCCCTCTATCTTTTGTACTAAACTTTTTGGAACATTAAAATGACTATAAAATATTCTGTGGCAACTTATTTTGAAATTTCTTCTCTGCAAGTTGTTCTTATTAATCTAGAGAATGTGTCAAAAAAAGTTTCATGGAATAGTCATCAAAATTACAGCGCATGGGAACTATTTCAATTTCCAGTTCAAAGCAAAATTTTTGTTTTGAGGATCACTACACAAAACACTAACAACAATAAGTTTTATAATAAAAAAACAAAATAACACTAATATTGTTAAATGGTTTACATATTCTTATGATTTTAGTAATTAACATGCTTTTTTATATCATTTAATTAACATAAAATGGTCAAAATTAGAAAATCGATTATTCGCGAGATTTTCACGATTTTGGGAGTCTATTGTAGCCTAGCCTTAAACCAGGTTAAACAATGTGTCTATTGCCCGCTGTTGAGCTGCTTACATGTCAAAGAAAACTTATAATTTCATATTTCAACCTCAGAAAAATTTTATGGTTTTGGTTAAAGCAGTTGATGAGTTTGCTTCTGTATTATTTTGAAAAGGTACCATTTTTATTATACTGAATAAGATATAAATCCGTACTTTTGTTCAAAAAACACAGAGATGTCAAAAACCGAATAACTAATTTACAGCTAAATAATTGAGACTCGAATGTAAATATTATTGGTTTTTATTAATTTAATAATCAGTTCTACCATTTTAAAAATATTCAATGATATTAAAAATGCAAATCACTGAATCAAATTCAACGGAATTATGTTTCAAAATAAATTCAATTGCGCGTAAACCCAGCATCTTTGTAATTCTAATTGTATAAAGAAATAAATTACTCGCGAAGAAATACAATAAAGCGGAGAAAAAAATCATTTCTACTCAGAAGAAAGATTTTTTTTCTCACAAAAAAAAAAAAACGCTTTTCAGGTAGAAAATCTTTAACATTCCACAGTTCTTCACAAAACAATTCAAAATCTAGAATTCAAATACCTAGTTATTGATCGAAATACTAGTTTTCTTCGCGCTACCATTTTTATTTCTGTAATTGGATTAAAGGTTTGATTTTTGAAAAATTGTATGTCTGGTTAATTTCTTGGAAAGCAAGATAACAATGGCTTCACGAGTTTGAATGTTAAATGAAATAAATTATTTTTTCTGAAAATAATAATAATAATAATAAATGCTGATTCAATTCAAAAAGAAAAATCTAATCACGTAGCATGTTGAAAAAATATCTAAAATCAAGAAATATATTTTTTCTAGAAATTTAAACAACATTTGAAAAAGGAAAGATATCGGTATAAAAAACTATTTCTGTGTATTATTTTCAATGATTAATTGCTTGTATAATGATTGATTGCTCCATTTATTTAAATTTTTGCGTTAGGTCATTATTTTGCATTCCCCATAAAATATTGAGAAAAAATAAATTATAAAAGTAGTTAAAATAAGCTATTCAAAGTAAACTAGTAAACTATATGTTTCATTTTTATATGGTCTACTAAGAATGGATTAATGAGGCAGTTTTTTATCATCATGAGATATGAAAAGGAAATTTTTTCAAAAACTATTTTAAGAAAATTTGTACTTTTCTGAAAACCTAAGCCACATGAAGTTTATCATATTGAAAACCATTCGTGTAAAATTTTTTCTCAACGATAATTTACATTAAAAGCGAAAACCAAATCACATAAAAATGAAAAAATAAATTCTGAAAACTTAAGTAAGGTCAAAAAATGAAGGATATCAATGCTGAAAACTGTTCGCCAACTTCGAAAGAATGTATGGTCAAAACTACGAGATTAAGAGAAATTTTACTGTTGTTTTGGCTTGATGGGGACACCAAAAAACTCGATAATTTTTACCGAAGCGCTTTGGTAATGATTTTTATAAAATTAACAAGAAATATGATTTTAGTATATGTGATAAATTTTGTAATTTTATCACGATACTTTAGAACACTGCATAAAACTATTTATTCGGTTAAGTTTACTTTACAGTTTTGTATATTTTACTAAATGTGTTACAAGAAGAGAACTGTATTATTAAAGAGAAATGTGTTGTAATATAACCTAGAAAGTCAGAATTTCCAGTAAACCGTTACCATTAAGAACGGAAAAATGAACAAATGAATGGTTTTAACGCCGTATAATTTGATTTTATTAACCTAAATTATGATTCTTTTTACCAAAACTCACCTTACTTATTTTACACGATAAGGATTAAAATGCTAATTAACGGCGAACAACGATGTTTATAAACAAATAACTATTTACTTAACAATTAACACATGCATTTATTATCATAAACAGATGTTAGCAAACCCAAGTTTTTTTAAACAAGCATATTAAGTGTCTTTATAGTATTATAAACGTATGCATATTATTGCATTAATATCGCCTATTACTACGCTTAGAAAAACCATGACCGAAACAAAAATTTGTCAAATAAAGTGAAAGTTTTAAGGATTTTTATTATTTAAACAATAATAATAATAGAATACTTAAAATTTGCAAGGTCAATCAGATAAATATGTAAATCATTTAATTAATTAATTTTTAATAAATTCTTTATAATTTATTAAATATTAAAATTTAATTAATTTCAAATGAATGAAATTTAGTGTCTTACCATAATGTCACTGTCAATGTCATTTTTCCAGTTAAAATTTTCTGTGCTGTCATCCGGACTATAAAGCTTATCTGCTTCATCAAAGTATCTAAATTAAGAAAAAAATACTTGAATAATTTTAATTCATATACCTGGGGAAAATATATTAAGTGATAGACTAAAATATTACTGATTTTATTTAATTAATTGATTAGAAAATAAATAACTTGTATGCAAATCCCTAACTTTGTAATAAAAAAATTATTTCGTTTAAATTTACGTTTAATACATAATTTTTCTCACACTTCAATCAAACAATTTATATTTAAAGAACTTATTTTAATCTCATTAATATATTTTAGAGGAAAAAGTAAAATTTTTAAGAAGCCAATACCATCTCAAATCTATATAAAATGTTTAGAGCTAAACAAAAGTTGATTTAAGCAGTATTAGCTTAAATATTTAAAACATTTTGTTTGCTTTGTTGTAAATTTTATATTTACTTTAATAGCTCACAGACTCTTCTCAAATACAAACTAAATATTTAAAAAAAAGAATAATAAGTATTTGAGCATTTTCCTCCTCATTTTAAAATTTACTGTCAGCCAGTAATTGAAATGGTATTTGCTCTAAACTTGAAATTCTATGAAGAAAACGATTCTTATGTTAGGTTGTTTCTGTATTAAGTTTTATAATTTTACATTAGTTTTTAAAGCATATAATTACAAAAATATACAAATGTTTTAGAAAAAAATTAAAACGTCACTCTTTGCCAATATAATGATAGTAATATTTTTTCCGAGGGCATGTAAAAAATCATTGTTCTTTATTTCTTAGCAAGATGTATGGTGAAGATTATTCTAAATGCATTTTTATATTAAATTCAAATTTACAAAATGATTTTGAAAATACCCTATTTACGGAATCGATTTGAAAAAAAATTTAAAGTTGAACACATTACAATTTTTTGAATTTTTAATAATAATAAGTAAAAAAGCACTTCCTCGAACTATAACTTATTTTATAGAAATAAATAGGAATCACTTTTATAAAAACAAAATTTTCTTTTAAAAAAAGGCATTTTTGGAATTATATTTTATTATACAGAAGTAAGTTAGAATCATGGATGAAAATGATTTCTTTTCTCACTTAAAAATATTAGAACAGTTTGAATTTTAATAAAATGAAACTGATCAAGAAATTTTCAGAAATATATTTGAAGGAAAAAAAATTATCATTCAGGTTAAAATTATTTAAAATATTCTTCTTATGAAATTTATTTAAATCTACATAAAATTATAATTTAGTGCTAGTTTTAAAAAGATTAAAAAATGAATTTTTACGAAATAATCCGCCTCCATGAAAATATTTGAAAATAATTAATAAGTATTATATTCACGAATGATTCATAACAATTTTTAGGGAAATCAATTAAAAACACAAAATACAAATTGATTGAAACTCACGGCGTCCTAGATGATCTCTTTGCACTGATACCCCTACATCTCGGATGAAATACCATTCGCCTAAAGGGAAATCAAAACATTAATAATGCATTAAATTACAAATGAATTTATACATCACGTCTAAAACCAATGAAAAGCAGCTATAATTTATTCATATGTAATTAAAGTTTAATATTTTATTCATTAATTAATCAAGTCCCACCGTCTTATTGTTCTAAATCTAAAAAGAAAAAATAATTTGTGGTATCCAACTATAACCTTGAGCTGAACCTAACTTAATCTAACCTAGTTTTGAAAAATAAATAGTTTTGCACAAAAAAAATCGAACTAAAATTTATATCTTGACAATACCAGCATTATTATATGCTAGTAACAATAAATTAAGTTGGAAACGAGTTATCTGAACAGAACTCAGTGGAAAATGTCTAATTAAATACCAAAGCACCTTAAATTATGCATTGCATACATATTTAAAAAATAATGATCTGTTTTATAAATCAAGTCGAATAAAACCTTGATAAAAAAACTAAAATAAATCAGTTAGCTATAAGTTTAATATTAATTTTACTGTGTATCTAAGTAATTCATTGAGTTAAATAAATTAAATATTCTACTATGCCATTTGATTTAACTGTATGAATTGTTGATGTAAGGAGGTTTAAGTATATAAATATTTTATATTATGTGAGGAAAAATATAAAATCATTAAAAATTTTGCTGATTTTTTAATATAAGTTTAAATATTTCTACATGATTATCTAACTTCGTTTGTAACTAAAAGATGAAATTCATAAAAACGATCAAAATATAGCAGCCTTAAAATGCATTTTCAAAAGCATCATACACTTTCGGGTAGGGCATTGTAACTTCTCAAATTTTACCGAATTCGCTTAAAACTAATTAGCTGAATATTAGTTACCGTTATTTATTTATAGATATTTCTAAAAAAAGTAATCAATTAATCAGTAATTAATCCAGCAACCACCCAATCTTACAAAAATATAAATATCATACACCGATACAATTAAAGCAATTCCAAATTTGTTTTGTTATTTGTTGGTCCTTTTGGTTACTTTACGCTATTAGTATAAGCAAAACACGACTATTCATCAAAATAACTATACACAGTTTATTTGGTATTAAAAATGATGCTGTTTTTAATTTTTATCTCAATAATCGTTGATTTTTCATTATTTTGGTCTATAGAAACACTTAACTATAGGTAAAAGTCTAGTTAATAATAACCTTGTAAAAACTATTTTGATAACGCCGCCTTCCTTTACAATTTACGTTGAATTTACTTAAGCTCATCTGACCTAATCGAAAATAACTGGCTTGTAAGGAACGGTCAATAAACTCTCAACGAAACTCTTTTTTTTTTTTTTTTTTAAATAGAGCTGTAAAATAGCACAGCATTAATGTAAACATTTATAATTAGAAAATGAGTATTATATGCAGATTAATTTGCAAGAACATGTAAGACAAATATAATCAGAGATACTAGTTTTCTAAACAGAACAATGCAAATTTTTGAAAGATTTTTTGAATCGGGGGCTAAAATTGCCTCTTGCAACTGTTGTCAGAATTTCGGGATCCTGATACACTTACGCAGACTCTTTTTTTTAATATTTTTATTGACTTTGATTAATTGAATGATAAAAATTGTAACATACAATAATAATTAATGTCACTCATCAACGATATTTTGAAAAAGCTTAAAAATAAACATCAGTAAAATAAATTTATTGCAGAATTAATTACATGGAGTATTTTTTTATCTTAAAACTAGTTTAACGTTAACTCACATAGATTAAATATATTTCGTAACAATACTTTTAAAAGTAAAATAAATAATGAGTTCTCGTTATATAACTGATTTTGAAAAGTTTGCATTGAAACTGATAAATTGATACATTTTTTAAATTCGTCCGAACTTTGTTAAATATATTTCAGCACACAGTTGAGCAATTAGATTTAATCAAATAACTTTGATTCCAATTAATTGCGAAACATTTGATATTTTGTAAAAATTTAGATAAATAATTTCGCTTAAAATATAAAAGAACAACAAATAATGTTATACCTGACTTCAAGTTTAAAAGGAGCTATATTTGTCTCAAACTTCGAAGAATTAATGATCATTTGTTGATTAAGAAATCTGTAATTATCGTTCGCAAAATTTGTATAGTTAAGAATTCAAAAATTCTCGGAAAAAGTTTTTAAAATTCAAATAATTTTTAAAATAAGCAGATGCATTAAAGAATAATCTTGTAGTTGCTTTGTAATATATTAATTACATATTTATTTAAAACAATTGTTAATGTATTAACAAACATTTTAATCGATGTTTCAAAGAGGGTTTGTTTTTTAACAAGACAGAGACTTAAGAATTAGAGGAATTGTATGAAATATTCTGTTTGTGTATTACATGTATTGTTAAATACATTTCAATTAGTTTATTTAAAAATGCTTTAACTGACTCTTTTACTATAATTTATTTAAGTAAGTACACTAAAATCTTTTCAAATAATTAGATAATTGAAAAAATAATTTTTTGAAAGATTACCGAAGAAATCCGTTGAAAAATTGTAAAAGCATATTCAGCACATTATATTAAAAATATACTTATTTTAAGACAGACTAAATATTATGTTGCAATATCTTGTTTGAAACAATTAAACTCTTGCCTTAAAGAATGTATCATGATCTGATCTAAAATATATCATGATTTAAGTTAAGTTATTGGGTTCTAGCAAAAATTGGAGCATCCATTAAACATTCTGAATTAAACAAAATAGCGAAGTGTGTTGGGAAAGTAATTTTTGTTTGAATAATTAAAATTGTGAGAATTAAGTTTCCATACAATATTTTTTAAAAATTAACAAAAGAAGAAACAATCCATGTCTAAACTTTAATTAATGTATATTAAATAATAAATTTAATTATATGTATAAGCTTTCAAGTAAGTAAAGCGAACCTTGTGTAATTAACTGACGCTCGTGCTTTCATAATAGCTGTTACGCTTTTTTAAATTTATAAATAATAGGATTATAAACAAGGTTCCTTGGATTATCTTTTAAAAAAGGAATATACTTTCGTTAGACTAAGCATTTTTTTAATCTATAAAAGAAAAAAAAAGAATTAATTTCCTTTAATTGAAACAAGAAAAGAGAAAGAAAAAATAAAATATTGAGATAGCTTTCATAAAATGTATTAAAAAGTAAGCCTTTTTTATTTTATTTTTCAAACACTTATATTTATTTTTAAAGCAAGTGAACCCACAAAGGGGTTTTTGCATTTATAATGAACCAGAAACATATCATCTAAATTTACATTAATGAAAATCGTTATTGTCAAATAAAGCTTATAAAAATGTTCACCTGTGGTTATCTTTTCAAGTATGATGTTCATTGTTTCTGCTGTAGTTTAGAGCTAATGAACATTGTTAAGTGTTGTGACAGGGATTTTTTAATCATTATGGAAAAACTCGGAGTTATTTTTATAACCTTCATACCAGAATATATTCAGTGTAACGTTTTCTATCAGAAATAAAATTCTTATTTTTGACGGTTTTGCAATTCTTTCATGTATTTTACTATTTTAAGCAATCATTTTGTGATAGATTCAAGTGATTTTGACGAAACCTGAACTCGCAAACATTGAACGAAACTGTACTAACTTGTTCTCAAAGTTTTCTGAGTCAAAGTTTTTTTATGTGACCATAAAAGTAGTTTGTACTGTTTGCATAGTTTGCACCGTATGACAGGATAATGCAGGGTAAGTGAGCTGGCTTCAATTTCAGCTCACTTACCCTGCATTATCCTGTCATACGGTGTCTCGATTCCGAGCTATGAGTGAGAACTTACTCTCATACATTTCTTTTACACTGTGCTGTATTTATTATTGAAATATGCAAATCGATTTGTTGCTTTAGACGAAAATCCCATCCTCAAACAACGGGAAAAAGTCATCGTCTTTGTTTGACGAAATGTTCACAAGGATCATTTCTCAGGAGACGGTTTCGTCAAAAACGAAGAAAATAACGTAAAGTTCAGGCATCCATTTTCTTATAGTGCTTTTAATATAAAAAAATTTAAATAACTTTTGTGAACTTAATAACATTAGCGCGTTGTCCCGAATTAAATAGAAGAAAATGCAATAAAAAATTATTCTAGAATATTTTGCATCATGTCAAATAAAGTTAATTTGAGTGGAAATAATCAGCAAAATAGTCAAAGAAAAATAAATTATAAAAATAATCTTTATTATTCAATAGATTTAATCCTATTCAGATGGCAAAATCTTTATTAATTTAATTAATTTTAAGTTATTGATAATTTCGTTAATTTTGAGAACTAAATTTGACTAAATTTGTGCTAAATTTGAGATATAAAGTATTTTACACGTTTTAAACAATTACTTATCAATTTTATCCAATCAAGAGACTTATAAAAATCCTTATCTTAAAAACAAATAATGATAATTTTGTTACGTAATAGGCATCATCGCGACGTCAAGAGCAAGTAAGAAATAAATACAAAAAATGTGGAATCGCGTATTCAGCAGTCAAATAATTTTTGAAAACTGAGTTACAATTGGCAACTGTAATAGTTTTCATTATTATAACTGATATTTAAAGGGAACTAATTATAATTACATATTTTCTTGACACAAAAAGGCTGAAGTTTATCCTGTATGTTTGCGCCAATGATTATTTTCCCAGGCAATTTATCGTATGCAGAAAAAAAAATAGACTGTAAAAAAAGTTCCTGCTCAAATTTAGGTAGAAAGTGCCCTACCGTAAAATCCATTTCTACTGTAACATGCGACAACAAAAAGTCTGATTTACAATAATTTTTACAGTAATAATTACCGTAAAATCACTGAATCACTTTATTTAAATGAATATTACTGTAAAAACTACGGCATACTATTTTATGGTAAAAATGGATTTTTCAGTTAACTGAATTTTACGGTTGATGCACCCAAAGTACTTTATACCACAAATTGATCCAGAATTTTTTACAGTATACATTAATAACGAAAAATCCCATTCTAAA